CTGCCCCCCATGATGCGGCCGCCACTCCCCACGGAGGGGCCGGGCACCATCCCCCCTCCCCCTCCCTCCAACTGAAGCCCCTCCTGGACTCCATCCCGTGGGATTTGTGTCTTTTTAACTGCAGCTCACCCCTGATCCAGGGAGCAGTTCCTTTTTGTATGTCTGGAAACCTGACTGAATTCTGTAGATTCATTAAAAGGTTTTTGATTTTCCTTTCCCTCTGGTTTGCTTTGCTGCTGTGGATTCACTTTCCCTACCCCTTAGATCCAGGAAACATTCCCAGGCTGGTTTTATTTTGGAAGTTCTCCAAAGAGGAGGCAAAGGATTGGGAATCTCAGTCATCCCCCTCCTGACAGGATATCTCCCTCACCTGTCTTGGCCTAAGGTATCCCCCTCAGGCTGCCTGATGAGTGTCCCATTAATTACCCCCCATTAATCAGTTTTGGTTCAACCAAAGCCCATCTCTGTTCATTCACTGAGAGAGGACATAGAAAGGCTCCTGACATTAAGTATTAGTTTATTATTTTAATTCATTAAGTGTCAGTACCATGGTGTAGCACCTGCACATGATTTTATTGTGTGTCCTCCTCCCACTGACAGCTCTGTTCAGGCAGGTTTTCAGTTCTCTGTGGGTTTATCCCAAATATTTCCTTCCAACCATCACTTGGTTCCCATAAAAAAGCAGCAGCAGTTCTGCCATTTGTCTGCCTTTCCCAGGTTCCTGTCCCTGAACTGGGGGGATCATTTGGGGATCCTGGGGGCTCATTGGGTGAGGGCATGGCCAGGGCTGGGGTTCCTCACCAGTTCTGGTTGGTTGGGGGGCCACAGGAACCCTGCAGCTGCATCCCCTTGATGGGGGAATCAAAGCCTTCATCTCTGCTGCTGGGCTGAGATGGTCCCAGTCAGTCACAGAATCCCAGACTGGTTTGACTGGGAGGGACCTTAAAGCCCATCCAGTGCCACCCCTGCCATGGCAGGGACACCTTCCACCATCCCAGGGGGCTCCAAGCCCCGTCCAGCCTGGCCTTGGACACTGCCAGGGATCCAGGGGCAGCCCCAGCTGCTCTGGGCACCCTGTGCCAGGGCCTGCCCACCCTCCCAGCCAACAATTCCTTCCCAATATCCCATCCAGCCCTGCCCTCTGGCACTGGGAGCCATTCCCTGTGTCCTGTCCCTGCAGGCCTTGTCCCCAGTCCCTCTCCAGCTCTCCTGGAGCCCCTTTAGGCCCTGCAAGGGGCTCTGAGCTCTCCCTGGAGCCTTCTCTTCTCCAGGTGAGCACCCCCAGCTCTCCCAGCCTGGCTCCAGAGCAGAGGGGCTCCAGCCCTTGGAGCAGCTCCGTGGCCTTGGTCAGCTCCTGTAGAAGTGACCTCAGACTCCTCCAGCCCTCGTGGTGGTGTCCGTGTCCTGCTCCAGTCTGGGCACTCTGTTCCTGACAATTCTGAGCTCTAGACTGCAAAGACTTGGAAAGAGAAGGCTCTTCCCTTCCAGAGAAGGGTCTGGAATTTTTTTATCAGGACATTTCCAAAATCAGGAGATCTCTTGGGTGGGGGAGGCAGGTTTCCAGGATGGTTTAGGCAGGTGGCACTGGCAATTTCAGCTGCTCCAGTGAGTCTGGGGTCTGATGGAGGGAGAAGTCCTTACAGTGTGTGAGACTTTCTAAGGGAGGCACTGAGTGTTCAGAGTCCTCAGGCTGCTGCTGCCCCATGATTCTCATTCCCAGGATGAAGCCCTTTTCCAGGGCAGCCTGTGGAGCTGCAGGATGCGAGGGGAAGGTTTTCCAGCCAGAAGAGGGGATGCTTTCCATACATTTACTTCTTTCAGCCCATTATCTGCCCCTGTCCCCCTCCTCCTGCTCTGGCTCGCTCTCCCCTCCCGGTGTTTCGGTGCTGATGGGGTTGTACGTGCCAGTCCCCATGAGGATCCCATTCCAGACACTCATCCTCCTTTAGAAAACATCCAAAGTCAAGGCCGTGCATCCCTAGGAGTGAGTGCAACAGCTTCGATTTTTGCATGTTTCCAAAACGAGCTACAGACCCAAAAATAGAACAAAAAAAAGTTTCTTTGCCACCTCCCTCGCTCCTCTGCAGCGCGACAGCCCCGGGGCGGCTCAGGGGAGGCGGTTGTGCCTCGGCCACTCAAGGCCACCCTGGTTAAAAGGGAGACGCCGTCCTCCCTCTTCCTGCCGAGGGCTTGGGATGCGTGAGCTGCTGCAGGGAAGAGCCGAGGTGGGACCATGAGCGCTCTCAGGGGGCTCCTGCTGTGCCTGGTGCTGCTGCTCCCCTCTGCAGCTCTGCCCAGGAAAGGGGAAAGGGATTCCCTGATGGAGCTGAGTCTTCTGGAAGAGCTGGGGCTGGAAGCAGAAGGGAGAAAGGTGGGAAATGGAAGTTTACAGGAGACACCCAGGTCCAGGAGGGCTGCTGCCACTCTCCTTTTCTCCAAGCCTGAGCCGGGAGCCGAGTGTCCCCCGGCTGAGGAGGGGGGCCCGGGCTGGTCCCGCTCCAGCCCGCAGCCCTGGCCCCTCGGGGGCCTGGAAGGGCCCGTGTGCAGGGTGAGGATGGAGCAGGACGGGGCCACCCCGAGGCACCTGGAGGTGGTGGGTGTGCTCAGCCACTACGAGAGCAGCTTCATCAAACTGCTGAGACGGCGGCGGAGCTGGGACGGGAACTTCCCGGGGACCTTCGGGCTGTGCCGGGCCGGGGAGGCGGCGGCTGCTCCCCATCCCCTGCAGAGGATCCACGAGCACGTGCTGGAGCCGGGGCGGGAGAGATTCCTCGTCCTGCACCTGGAGGAAGGTTGGTGGGAGAGCCCTGCAGGCTCCGAGGTGGAACAGCGAGGAGAAGGATGCGGGGCTCAGGGTGGTGATGCTGTTTGCTGGCCCAAAGTCAGGGATTTAAACACAGAATTAAATTTGGGGGTTGGGTTCCCTTTCAAAACAGCAGAGTGATGGAGTGAAATGTTTCTGGGCACGTTTTCAAGGAGGTTTAGCAGTGAGGATGGCAGCGTGGCTCTGCCATCTGTCCCTGCCTCTGACCAACACCCAGTTGCTGGGCAGTGGGGAAATGCCTCTTTCCCGGCCAGAGGCCACAACGTCCCCGAGCCACTGGAGAGCAGATTTCCATGGGATCTGGGGGGAGGCAGCTCGCTGGGTGCGGGCTGTGTCCCGCTCTCCGTCTCCCTGGAGCCGGGATTTGCCGTGTCCCTTCACCCTGTGGGCTCCTGTCCCAGGCTCTCTGGTCCCTGCATGGGGACAGTGCCCGTCCCGAAGGCCCCTCCTCACCCCCGGAGCCCCCGGAGGGGATTCACGGCCGTGTCTCCCCCGTTGCAGTGCAGTGGGAAGCGCAGGTGAAGCTGCGGTTCCAGCTGGTTTTCCAGGCGGAGGTGGGACGGGCTCTGGGAGAGCTGCAGGCGGCCGTGATGCTCTTCTACCTGGGCCGCCGGGAGGGCCGGGGCTCCGGGCCCCCGCAGGAGCTGCTGCTCACCGGCCCGGGGCTGGAGCGGGACCAGGTGGGTCCGGGACTCGGTGGGAGCAGGGGGTGGGAGGGGTGGCTCTGCTGCCCAGTGCCTTTCTCATCCCTCCAGTCCATTCAACAGCCCCTCCAGCTCCCCTCCCAATTCATTCATCGCTCCCCCAGGGCTTTGCTATCCCCTCCCAATCCATTCACAATCCCCTCCCAATTCATCCATAATCCCCTCCCAATTCATTCACAATCCCCTCCCAATCCATTCACAATCCCCTCCCAATTCATCCACAATCCCCTCCCAATCCATCCACAATCCCCTCCCAATCCATTCGCAGCCCCCTCCCAGTCCCTCTGCCATCCCCTCCCAGCATCTCCTCCTTGTCTCCCGCTCCCGCCGTGCCTGAAGATGGAGCTCTTACCCTGTTCCCAGCCCCCGCAGGGCCAGCGGGGCTGCCCCCGGTACCAGCCCGGTCTGAGGTGCTGATGCCTGTCCCCTCGGGGGTTCACTGGGTTCCCTGCACCCCGCGGTCCCCGGAGCAGCTCTGGGGCTGAGGACGAAGCTCCCAGTGGTCCCCACCCTCCCTGTCGCTGCTCCCTGGGCCACTCGGGCTGGGTGACCCGGAGCCCGCAGGGACCACGGCGGGGGCTCACGTGTGTCCCCCGTGATGTTTCACCCACGCCTCGGGGCTTTCTGTGTCTCCTGTCTCGGTGCAGAGGCTCTGCCTCTCCAGGGACACGCAGTACCTGGCCCTGGCAGCCGCCGCAGCCTCGGTCACCCGCAGCGCGGAGCGGCTCCGCTTCTCGGCTTCCCTGGCCATCCACGGCGGAGCGGGAGGTAGGGACGGGGGGACACCCTGGGGACAGCAGCAGCCCTGCCCTCGTGCCCTCGCTTGGGCGTTTGGGGTCCTCTCAAGCCCACGAGAGGCGGTGGGGACATGCAGGAGACCCCAGACCAGCGTCCTCCCCTCTCGTTGCCGCAGCAGGTGCCCCCCTGCCCCGCACGGAGGTGCAGCAGCTCCTGTTCGGCTCCGATGACAAATGTTTCACCCGGATGACCCCGGTGCTGCTGCTGCTGGCCAAGTCACGGCAGCAGGAGGAGGAAGAGGAGGAAGAGGACGCTTTGGCCTCATCCTCCTACCAATCTGCTGAGGGGGTGCTGGACATGGCTCCGTACCCACAGCTCAGGTCCGTGGCCGTCGCTGCAGGCGCGGGAGAACACGGGGGCCGGGAGATGAGGTGGGACAGGGGCAGCCCCAGCTGTGGGACCATGGCTGAGTGTAGGGCACGGCCTGGTGGGACCCCCGGCGTAGACGGGAGCCCCGTGACTCTCCCTGTGCTCTCCTTGCAGCCCACCCCAGGCCGGGACCGAGGAGCTGCCGACCCCCACTGCCCCGAGCCAAGCCAACACTTCGTCCCCAGCGCCCGGGGGCAGCGCCCAGTTCCTGGCAATCCTGACCCGCTTCATCCGGCAGCTCCTGAGCTCCTCCAGCGAGCCGCCCCCCCAGCCCAGTGCCCACCACTGGCTGGACTTCGAGGCGATGGAGACCCTCCCTCACCAGCTGCTCAACCTGTCGGAGGAGGCGGCGCTGGAGCGGCTGGTGCAGTCGGAGGAGCCCTCGGTGCTGCTGCTGGCCCAGGACAGCGGGGCCGTGCTGGAGCAGCACCTGGGGGACTGGCAG